GCCCGTTTATTGTCATAGAATAATGTCAGAATCCCAGTTTTTACCGGAATTCCCTGAATTTGATTCCAGGAATAACTTTTGCCCGTCTAAAGTCATAGCCGGCTAATCGTCACGACTCATGAGCCGAGCGTCGGTCATGCGTGGCAGATTATCACATCCCGGTCAGCCGCGGAAGGCAGCGTGTTTGTTTTTTTGTCAATGACCTGCTCACCTGAAATCTGCTTCACCGAGTTATTCACACACTGTCTGACATTAATTAGAGCATCACAGAGAACGGCACTGCTGCAGAGCATGTCGTCACTCATAATTAAACGGCTCAGCTAGTTAATCAGGATAAGTTAATCCTCTGGAAACCCTCTGATTTAAGGAAATAACTGTTATTGATGGGACAGCTTTTCGTAATGTTTGAGCTTTTTTCATGTTCAGACACTTTTTCTAGTTTAATATTTAATAAAAGGTTAAAACAAGTCTTATTTTCTTTCCTTAAATACTTAATTTCCCAGATACATGCTAAATACGTCCGATATAGGCCATGGAGATCGTGCTGGTCCAGTTTTCACACCCAAACTCACCGCCATCTTGACAGCCGCTTGTTGGAATATCCCGGATATCGTTGTAGTTCCGATCTGGACCAAGGGTATGATAATAAATCGGCAGCACTGTATTAAGTACTTTCCGAGACACTGTTTTCACACATTGATCCTGGAAGCTATGTTTTAGTATCTCAGGAACTATTCATGATGAAAAGCTGAAATTTTCACTCATTTCTCAACATGCCATTTATTTAAAAAAGTAAATAAAATAGTCTGTAATCACGGGTGAGTTGAATATGAAAAAAAAGCTCCCATCTTTGAGCACGCATTGAAAATATTGATGATGTAGAAGTCAGCTAGTGATATTTTCTGAACCGCATGTAGTTGCATGTAACAACAGTGGAAAATGTGCTGAAAGTGAGTTGAAGAGCAATTAAAATATATATAATCTAGAAAAGTATTTGATATATTAAGCTAAAATTTTACAATATCTTTATAAATATCCATATTTATGCTACAAAAATCTGAGACGATTGAGCAGAATTTTTTATGAATTAAGATGAAATGACCCATACTTGGAGAAAAAAATAAATAAAAAAGAAATTACAGTTTTTGTGTTCTCCGGAGGGAGTAAATTCATTTGTAAATTGATGCTGCTGGCTCTGGTAATGTGCAGTGTCTTTACAGTGTAAGGAGTGCTGATGTTGCTGTGAGTTTTAACAGGTTTGTAGTCATTCTGCTTTAGATGAAACGGGACCTTTGAAGAAAGACGCTAGCTGGAGCCCCTCCAGTCTTGAAACTCACATGGTAATTCTGCAAGAATATTCCAAAATGGTTTCATTCCCTTTTGAAAAAAAGGCAAAAATGAAAAATATTATACAGTTTCAAAAGAAGGAAAACATAATCGCTCCAGTTTGTGGCGTTGCTACAACATTTGTTGGCCTTCCTTCGCATGCTCAGCAGGAAACTGAGTCATTTTGCCAGATTTGTTGCTCAATTCTGCCTTTGACATGATGTAATCATGCATTCAACTCCACATACGCTGAGCTAGCTTTTGTTGTCGGAGACATATTCTCTGTGAAATCTACAGATAACCCCGCTCCCTGTTGGTCAGCCCCAGTTCCTGTTTCTCAGCATCTCTTGTCTCTCTAATTCTGTCTGTCTTGTCTGCTTTCACATCGCATCTCTCGCTCCTTCCCTCACTCTGGCCTTCATGCTGTTCCTCCTTTTGCTCTTCTTCACTTCATCTTCCTCCGTCTGTCAGTCTTTTATCAGCCAGCATCCGAGCACATCTTTTTGTCTATCATTTGCCTACTGTCAGTGTTTTCCCCCCATTATTTTTTTTCTCTAACTTTTCGCCCGACAAATACCTTTTAGTTAATCACATGACAGCCATACTATCAAGTTAAAACTGCAGTCATATGACGATGAGGGAGAGGCAGCTTTTTAACAGGCTGATCACCTAAGTCGCTTTTAATCAGACTCGCTGTCTGGGTACATAAGAGAGGCTTCATTAATCCCGTCCAGGAAGGGAGGGAGAATGGGAATCATCACTTTGTTCCACGCTGTCTTCCTTCGCTCACATTAGATCCGTGCACGTACGTTCGCTCGCATCCACGCCGTATGGTCGAGTGGAGAGAAGCTGCTGTTTCATAAGCAAGGTCACGTCAGGTCAGACCGCCCGTGTACAGCGTTTTTCCTCAACCCTGTTTTTCTCGACTCCTCTCTTCACTTTCCGCTGTCCAACCGATCTCTTTACTTAAATTTGTCTTCGATCTCCCCGGGCGTCTATTAATACTTCTCATGTAGTCTCTCTTTTTCTCTCGCTTGCTGTCATCTGATCGAAGTTTTTTTTCTTTTTTCTTTCTATTTTCTGCTTACGTCCTTTTCTCATCATTCCTGTCACGGCTCCTTGATCAGCTCAGCTTCGTATGTTTTTATATATAGACTACCTTTATGTTGCTGTAATGGGGCCACTGGGCATTTGAATTCCCCGTTGAGACAATGAAGCCGCTTTTAATTGCTCGTTTCCATCTGCGGTCCCTGCTTATAGGTCACAAGGCCACCCGACTTCTTATTCATCTTTGTCTCCATGATCTGCATGAAATACTGGAGATTAAAGAACCTCTTTTTGCGTGAAACGGACTGACCAGGTGATTCATTTTGTAGCTATGAAGCTATATACTCTGCAAATAATCATCGTTATTTTTAACTAATGTGGTGATTATTTTTTTTAACTGGTTCATTTGTCAATAAAATACAAAGCGATTCCCAAAGCTGCTTGGTTCTGTTTGAAGACTACATTAAACTAACCCTTTAACAGCAATCTGAAGGTGAGGAAAGTCTTACTCCACACTGCCTGTGACACATATATATTCTGTATATGTAGCTGTTTATACAAGACTCCAGTGGCTTGTTTAGTTTTGTCACTGTTATATTTTTTAGGGCACACTGTTCCATCAAACAGAAATAGTTCAGACACTTTTGCGCATCATCTTCTACACATCTTTGCCCAAATTCAGCCTGACATACTTGATATCTTTCAAAACTTTGGGATCTGCACTTGAATTTTAATAACAGCTCTCTGTGTTTGAATGCTGGGACACAAAAAAAACACACATTTGTACTGACTGTTCTTACAGTTTTACAATGATATAAAATAGAGGAAAACAGGAAAGCTCTCGAGTTCGGAAGCCGGAATGATTGTGAGGTTATTTGGCATTTTTCCTGGAAAGATTGTTTTATATGCGCCCCGTGGAGGTTCTGTTCTGTTACTCACAATGCATTTTGTGTATTGTTTGAGATCTAATTTAAAGTGTGAAAAGTGTTTGTTTCCTCATAAAACATTCGCAAAGCTGATTTTGAAAACATTTTAAATCCGTGTTAGTTTGCTGAAGTACTGTTTTGTTTTTTTTACTCCCCGATCACAAAACTGAAAAAGAAAAAAAGGCCTTCAGTCATTATATTAGAATAACAAGGCTGCAGTAAGAGATTCAAAGTCCTCAGTTACACAATAAAGACAATTTTCTGGGGAGAAATGAAGATTTAGAGCCGCTGTGTGAGCAGGAATGGATTATAATAGAGATATTTCGAGAAAAGTACCTCAAGTCAAGGTAAAAATGACCAAAAAGATAAATG